CCACACGGGCCACACGGGCCACACGGGCCACACGGGCCACACGGGCCCCGCTCATGTTGTCATATAGCAAAGGCTCAGCGGAGGCGTTGTGGCGGTGGGAAGTTCCATGGGCCTGCCGTGGCTGCGACTATAATAGTTGTCTTTTCCTCGTATGTGTTTTCGTGGCTTTGGTTCCGGCTTTTCTTGTGTTTGCAGGCCATGGTAAGTTTGCCGTTACGCATGTTTTGATCATGGGCTTTTGCGTGGCATTGCCATGGCTATGATTGTTATAGTTGTCTTGTCCTTCTATGTTTTCCGTGCCTGGCTTCTTGTGTCCATGCTGTTATAACCGCAGGCGATGGTGATGTGTACATGAGCAGAGTAGACGTGTGAACGGACGATAGCCAGAGTAGAGCGATAGCCAGTGTACATGAGCAGGCGATAGCCAGAGTGGACGTGTGAATGGACGTGTGAGCTGCACATGAGAACGACCAAATGAATTTGCATGACATAAACCAGCGTCAGCTCCATGGGCCCCACGGGCTCCACGGGAAACCATACCCCACAGAACCTCCAAAAGCTACTTACTGCCGGCATTGATGGTGCTAACCCTAGTATAATGGAAGGATCCCATCCATCATGTGCGCCGTCACGGGCAAGTTCTTCCTGCTCCTTCAAGTTGAGGACCCCTTTCGGGCCAAAAGCAGTATGCTTTTCAAAAGTGGTCCAATAGGCCAACCTACGAACAAACGAACAGAAAATTAGATAGACGGCAGGGATAAACATCAGGGACTTGAAATGTTGTGTCTCTATCCATCTCTGGGGTGAGAGTTTGAGTGCAAATCTGACCAAGTGAAGCTTCTGCATCTGAGTGCTAAAGTTGCTGGCGCCAAAGTTGCAAAAGTACTGCCTCGGTTCGGAACTTCTAGTTTGGCTTAGAGTCGCGCGCTGCAAACTTGGGCAAAGGCTGGAAAAGCATCGCCGGGCTTCTTGGCCCTACAAGGTGGTTTTTGGACTAACCAAGCAGCAGTGCCGGAGTATGCCATTGGAGCATTTTTTACATGATTTTGACAGGTGGTGAGTCGTGAACCTGCATGAGGGCCGCTTCAGCGGCCTTCCCGGGCCAAGGAAAAGGTGTCCTATTGACATTCCACAGAAAATACAGTAAACTCCAAGCTGCTGAACAAGAGCCCCTAGTAGCCTCCTTGTTCCTAGTAGCGATGCCCTTTGCTCCTAGTAGCTTCTTGCTCCTAGTAGTAAGGCCAAGCGTCCTTGCTCCTAGTAGCGATGAACAAAAAATACTACAGTAAACTCCAAGCTGCTGAACAAGATCCAAACTGTTGTTCTCAAGAACATCTTGTTGGGCTTGGACATACAGTTCTTGCAAAGCTGGCACTGAGGCATTGTTACACGCAGCGTCTGCCTTGCAAGATGCAAGCTCTGTTGCTGATTCGATATATTCTTTTCAGAACTTCTGGTCTGCATCTGTCTTGCATCTTGCTAGTCATAAACCAATGCCATGTCATCAACATGGTGTCAACAATATTCACCAGCGCATCGCCTGAACGAGTGAAGACTCGTAAAGCTGCACTTGGTGAATTGAGAATTCCCCAGCCATGCTGCAACTTGTCGCCCAGCCACTGATCTTCCTGCAAAGCTGGTCTAGGAAGCATTGTCAGTTGGGGTCCCAAGAAGCACCGCGACACTAACAAATGGTCTCTTTGAGACGGTCGTTGACTATAACGGATAACGTCCTTCTAGCCTCAAGCCTTCACAGCAACCCAAAACCTGCTGTACCCTTCAACAAGTCTTGAGATATCTTGAGTTACTATGAGTTACTTTTTTCCCAAGAATGCCGGGTGTGTCATTTCTTCGTCCCTTCGTGCTGCTTGCGGAGTGACACATCGGTCCTGATCCTGTGGTTGTTGTCAGCAAAAATGAAATCTCCGGCCGAATCCACTGCGCAACTCAGGGGTCGATTCAAATATGATTGTTGCGCCCTGGACTCATTGTTGTAGGAGTCCGCTTCGCTGTATCCAATCGCACCCTTAACAACAGGTTGTACCTCCCAAGGTTGTTTACAGGACTGGCCAACAACAAGTTATGATGACGTGCCCAGCTGAACCCCAACGAGCCTTCTCCTTGACCATTAAGCTGTAGCTGCTACCTGAAAGTAGCTTGATTGTGGTCTTGTTGATGAGGTAGCATCCGGGAAAAGCGATCCCAGTGCACCTGCACCACCGGACGATTTTCACGGCAGAGCGGACGGTGAAACCATGTGAAAGCAATGCGAAACACCATGATTTGGCAGGGACATAATCTAAAACGGGTTTAGAATGTTTTGGTCAAACAATTGCATGTTCTCCAAGACACTCGATGTTCTCCAAGCAAAGTTCTTGGCATTCGATCAGCAGCAAACTCTGATCGAGGTGAGGCCCACTGATCATATCCTCGCAGCTCTGGATTCGTTGTCGATTTTGAAGGACAGGAACGGTGGAATTCGGGTCTTGTTATTGAAATACTTAATAGGAAAGGAAAGGTCCCCCAAATAATCGATAGGAACATTTTTAGTGGGGATTTCCTTATCTCTCTCTTTAGGGGTTCGAGCATGCATGACTCTGACTCTGACTCTGACTCTTGCTCGCCGCCGTCCTTCGACCCCACGAGGCTGTCAGTGACATAGATTCCATCCTGATCTCCGGTCAATCTGCTCGCCGGAATGCCAGGACCCACGAAGGCTTGGAGCGCCTGAGAGGTTGGTCTAAGAGAGGCCCATGTTCTGAAGGATTCTGAAGGTGTGTCTATGTTGGGTATTTCGACAGAAGTCCACAATAGTCCACAAACTTCCTCAGCTTTGCATAATTTTGGCAGCCTGGAATTTTTCCAAGGAAATGCTCATGTTGACGAATCCATTGGAGAAAGGAGCTCCGGTGCGGCTGATGGTGTAAACATAGAATGGCTGGTTTTGACCTCAGAAAGTCGATGGGATGAATCGAGTGGCGATCGAAATTCGGTCGGAAAGCCAGGAATCCTCATCCTTGATCCAAG